ATCTGGCAATTATCCTGTAGTTCATTTATATCTAGCTTTAATGCATTCATTCTATTCTTATAATATAAGAAGCATGGCGGCCTTGTTTCTTTGCTTGTTTTGTTTTTTTGTTAATAATATGACACATTATGGGATTTCTGGTCAGAAAATGTCCAAGGTAAGAAAGGCAGCTGGAAAACAGCCTTTTTTATGTGTTTCTAGCGGGTGCAACAACCTGCATGGAAAAGAATTTACCCATTAATCAGGAAGAGCGAATGTCAGTTCGAGCAGTGAGAAGGTATTTCTTATTACACAGACTTCTTGCAGGAAAAAACTGCAATGTTTCTAGATTTCTACAGTTTGTAGTGATCCTCTTACTTTCAAAATGTTTCCACAGTCCCCAACACTATTTTTTTTAATGAAATGCTACATGTATGTTGAGATGGACTGCATCACAACTTCTACATATTAGAATGTGTTAATCAAGGGATTGCTATAGTACATGAAACTGTATAGGCAGTGTATAAGGCAGAAAGGAATGCCTCTCCTTTTTTTTTGCAGTTGATATAATATAAAGTCTATCTCCCATTTTCATTATTTATATCCAAATATTCTTCTCTAGGTTAGCATTTCCAGGTGTTTAGATTGCAGCTTCCTTCATGCCAGTGACTGGGAGTGATGGGAGTTGTAATTCAGCCCAACTGGAGAGTGCCATATAGATATATACATTCATATTCATATTCATTTATTTAATTTTGCTTGGATGGTTTATAGAAGCAAGGTATTCCAAGACCATAATGCAGTGAAGCTGAACTTTTCTTATGTGCCCCACATCCTCTGTTTATTTTACACTACATTTGGATCTAAAGATATTCAATTTATGTAAATTATAAATGCACTGTGTAAATCCAAAAGCAGTATCTCTTCTGTGTTGTATAGTAGTTTGAGCTTGAGATCTAAAATATTATGAGTGAAATTCTGTACAGGTATTCGTACTTAGATGTATTTTATTGAAATAAACAAAGTTCTTACAATAATGCTAGTTATAATAAGGAAAGTAGGAGGCAATGCTAATTTATTTCTAGAGAGCTTTATATATTGCAAAAGTATTACATGAGTGGTACAGAGAGATGTTAGTTTTACAGCTACTGTACTTGTACAACAGTGCCACAAATCTCCTGCTTATCCTGCAGTCTGCCTTTAGCACTGGCAAATGGCAATGAGGTCTCATGCGGCTCTTTGGTAGTCAAGATCCGCACTCTGCCTGTCAAAGGACAAATCTTCCACCTGGTATGTCTTTACAATGTCTTCAATACATCTCATAACTAAAAAAAACAATTTCATTAAAACCTGAGGAGTGCTGCCCCCTGGTGGCACAGGTTTTTAATTCCAAATCATCTGATGTAACTTTTGTCTTGTACTGTACTAATTTCCATTGTAAA